TACTTTCTGTTCTTCACTGTTTCTATGCTACGTGTCACCAAAAAAGGTCTTCCGGTATCATCCCAACATTTTGGCCACTGGGTGGTTGAATGCATAAGACTATTTTATCCGGTAGCTCATTCTTCCTTTCCTGCAGGTATCACTCAACATTTTCTGTCTTGATTTCTGCAGCTCACCATAGCGCCCCTTTACCAGACATATTTCAGGCAACCATGTGATCTCAGCCATCTATGTTCATCTGTCATTTATGCTTGGATGTTTGCACATGTGCTAATATCTCTTTTGGTAGAAGGATATTGGGTCGCTTCTGATGTGACACCACCCACCTCCAGTAAGGAAACTAGTTAGTCTTCCATCAATATGAATCAGAGAGACCAGAAATAAGAGGCTGAATGCTTTAAATGTGTTCTGTGAGTGATCATTTGTGAACCCACCTTCTCCTGCTCTTGGCGTCTTGTTCTGTCCTCCATTTTGGGCACTGGACCAGAACTGAGAAGCTTGAGCTGAGGCATACTGGGGTCATGCATGGTAAGGGGATGGGACGGGGTTTTCCATCTGAATGGCTCAACTCTCGAATGTTCCCAACAATCCTCTGATCAAGCATAGAAGCCCATTTGTATGAGTTTGAGAATGACCAGTCGAAAACCCACAGCTAACATACATACCTCAATTTGTTGCCTTCCCCTAATTCCACCATGTTAGCTATTCTTCTCGTGCCTATAGAACTGGGACCATGAGCTTTTATACAAGCAGTACCAAGGTCTGATTTCTACTGCAACAATGCTGGCATGATTTCTCCATAAGTTGTGAGTTGCATGAATTAGCTAGCAGTTTCTTCTTTAGAGGGACAAAACTGCTAGGTTTATATTCATACAAAAACGCCCAATTGCATGAGAATGACTGACACAGAAACAGAAATGACAAAACTGGGAGAATCGTGCAGCTCTGAAGCATTCCATGAAGATCTGAAAAGGAATTCAGGATTGTAAAAAGTTCCTGTGATTCCTAGTGTGGTTTAGTTGAGAGTAATGGACTAGGACACACACACACACACACACACACACACACACACTTTTCCCACTACAGCCTTTTTACAACGAAGTAAAACCACTCTTTAAATATATCACTTATCTTTAAAGCCCTATTAGGTTTGCTATAAGTTGGTTCCATCTTGATGGGGGACACACACACACACACGCTCAACTGGATCTTATAAATAAGCTGGCAATTACTGCTATATCCCCACCATGGGCAGCTGTTCAAGAAGAGCCTGCTTTGTGGACAGAGGATTTTGGTTTCTTCCTGGGCTTGTCATCAAACTCCTCAGTAGCACCCTGTTACTTAAAGTACACACCCACTCCCAAGCAGCTGTATGTCAGCTTTAGACAGCACTTTGAAATTTGATGCAGGTTAATTCAAGCCGCTGGCTCACATCAAGCTGTTGGTCCCACTTGAGAGTGCTTTGCATTCTTAACTGGAGGGGATTCATAGGGCTGCACTCATTGACAGGCTAGATTAGGCTTGGCTTCTAATGTTTTTGCATCCTCAGGCAGAACCTGAGGCAGAACTAGGCTTGGCTTCTAATGTTTTTGCATCCTTAGGCAGAACCTGAGTTCTACTTGTGTGACTAACTTGTCTGTAGACAAACTGGGTATTGCAGAATTATCTTATTGCATGAAACCAGCTAGAAAGTCACTGGAAAGTTTTGAATGAAACACCACACCATCCTTTTTAAACTCCTGACATGAACATGTCTCTTGTTAGGCTTGTCATAACAGAGGAAGGAATCCTCCATCTATTAAGCACACAAAATATCGTCACTGACATCTTGAGATACCATAGTCAACACAGACTATGATGATAATGATAGATAGACAGACTGTTCCTTCTTGGAAAAGGCAGAGTTATAATTCCGGTCCCAGACAGAGTTTAGAAGGCCATTCCACCAGTCCTTCCAAATTCAGGAGAGGCAGAACTAGCTCAATGCGAAAGAGGGTTTTTTTTTGCTGGTCGAGCCTGAATAATTGAGGCACAAGGTTGCAGTGTGTTAACAATAAAGTTTATTAATAAGAGGATAATCTGAAATATTGCTTGCTTTTTGGCACTTCATTCAAACATACTCCCTCTTCCATAAGTGAGGTTTCATTCATCACCACTAGCATCTCTGTTTCTTAAGCTAATAGAACCAATATAAGCAATAAATACTGTACAAAAGAAAGACTAGAAAAGACAAATATTTGAGGTGAGTGAACAAGCAAGAGAGAGGAATCTGACCCAAACCTTCACCCCTTAGAACTGGGGATGGAGAAGAGCAGTCTTTGGGACGTTGCTGAACCCTGGCTCCCTTCAGCTCCAGCCAACGGTCAGGGATGAAGGAGGGTTAGATAGTCCAGCAACATCTAGGAGACGACGGTTGCCCCATCCCTGCCACACAAGAATCACATAAAAAACATTCACTCCTCTTTGGAAAGCCAGAAAACGTTCTCAAAAGCCCTTCTTCTGAGGAATGTCAGACTACCACAGGGGAAAAAACGGACTTCTAGCCAGGCTAGAATGACTCTGCTTTTGAGAGTTTCTTCCCCAAAAGTCTTTACCCCAGAAAGGAACATCGGGATGCCCTTTGTTCAGGGGTTCAAAAACATCACAGCCTTAGGTCCCTAAAATAAACAGCATTTGGCATTGCGTTGTCCCTTTCAAAGCAAACAAAACCACAGAGCAGTATTATCACTGAATAGGTTAGTCACAAACAAAAGTATTTTGAAATAAAGTGCTTTCATCTAAAGTCAGAAATAGAGGATCTCATAAATGCCATTTTGTAGAACTAATACATATACTGTACATACACAGATATAAATTTATACAATAGTGTACTGATATAGCAATAAAATTATGTGGCTGGGACAATATACAATTCTTTAATAGATTAAATACAAATTGCTGGACAGAATAGTTACAGGGTATAAAAATAAATCCTTGTTCCTTAGTATTTACTCTGCCAAATGAAATTGCAAAGCTTTCAGGGAGTGTAAGGTGCTTATGAAATAAAAGCATTCAACATGCTAGAGTTCTAAATTCTTACAGGCATTTGTGACCCATACTCATTTCTACTCTCACCCACCCCTTAACAGAAAGTGTTGTGGGTTCTTTTTTTTTTTCTTTTTTGTTTTTGGAGGGTCCTCTTTGTCAATATAGAACAGCCTTCTCCAAGGCAAGGCAAGCTAGGATGATGGTAAATGTAGCTCAGCACATATACCTACACCACATCGGAGGCAAGTTGGTACAGAGTACCATGTGCCTACCATGGGTATAATCCAGCTCCTCTGCCTGGATTATACCCATGGTATGAAGCTTAGACCAATAGGGTTTACCAAAGAAGAAGAAGCCAGCACCTTTTGAGATCAGTGTACATTACAGCATCTCACTGGCCAAGATCTAACAACAAAACTCACACTAACAGAACTGCTTCCATCAGTAGAAGCTGGAGGAGAGTGACTTTCCCCTTTTTCCTGAAACCTTTTCAGGCAGTGTGAAAGGCCCTTTGGGGGAGGAGAAGGAAGCTCTGTTGCACTAGTGGACGGCTGCTAGTACAACACTGGACAAAGGCCATTCTCATGATCATTGAAATCTCACCTTCCAAGCTCCTGAAAAAGTTGCGCAATACTTATACTGCAACTTCTCAGAAAAACATAGCAGCATGCAAGGTACGTCATTATTACTACTTTAAATGTAGAGCAGTGGGGAGTGTAAAAGTTTTAAGTGACTTTTGAGAGACAGAGGGAGTCTACCTGGAGCTACCTAATGCTCTCAGAACATAATGATGCCATATTTTAAAGATTTGTACATTCAAATCGAATGAGAAGAATAAAAACCAGTGGCTTAAGATTGTTTGGCAACAGAAACATGAGATGATTTTGAGGAGCCAGCCCCTTTAACAGTATCTTCCTATCACACGTGTATTTTCAGGACTCCCTGTTTGGCCACCAGATGTCACAACAGAGCTGACCCAAATCCGCAGTCCGGGCACTGGACAATCAGTACTGACACAGAAACACAAGCTTTAAGAGAAAACAACAGATTTCATTTTAAAAGGGTATTTTCAGCAATTAAAAAGAAAAGAATTAAGAGCCTAATTCTGATATCCTCAAAGCCTACCTGCTTGTTGCAAAGCAGCATTCTGCCATTTTCATTCTAAAGACAGACATTATTTATCAGTATCTTGGCCCTGGCACTTAGCCCTCGCTTGACATACAGCAGAACTGGGGTGATCACAGTAAAGAAAATGTAGTGTAGCTTCTCCACATCAAATGGCCATATGTTGAAAGTCCTTAGCTATAACGCAAGACAAGTTTAATAAATGACTGGTAACTTGATCTGACACCCAGGGCATTGGTAACAGATTGTCAGAAAGCCTTAGGAGGTAACACTTTGTTCTCTGAGCTTTGGAGAGTCTGTAAAGGCAGATGGTTGCAGACTCTCCATTATGCTGAAGTCAGTGCTATGACAATAGAAGGAGCTGTCCTGGAATACAGCATGTCAAATCTTGCAGAAAATAAATTATGACCAATGACCTTGACAGAGGCCAAAATCCTGTTTGCTTTCTCTGCACACATAATAGCTTCTGTGTTGCAGTTGTCTTTTTTTTTTAAACCAGGAAGATCAAAGATTGTGGACATTCCATGGCAGTCAATAGGACCTGCTTAAAGTGTGGTTTAGTGTTCAGCACCCAACTCTCACACTGCAGAGAAAAGACGCAAAACTTTGAGGCAGGACTTGTGACTCCAATATACAGTATCACTAGAAATACTGCCTGAATTCTATAGTTGCACTTAACATCCAGCATCTTGAAATTTTGTATTCTATTTTAAGCTGTTTTAGCCCACACCTAGTGAAATCTCACAATTTAAGATTTCTAGTAGTTGTACATCAGGGCTTCCCAATAAGCAGCAGAAATTATGCAAAACACATGTGCTAGATGCTAAATTTGCATAATTGTAGTCTTCTTTTAATTAATCTCCACCGTCACAACAGTTCTCATGTTTACCTGTCACACCCAACTCAATTCTCACCCAATGTACTAATAATCAACCTTTCAACAAGTTAAAAATCAAAAGCATGACATTAGGAAAAAAGGGTCTTTCCCTCATCAGCGGAGAGACCAAACAACTCTGCAATAAATCCAAATGCAGGTGGTTCTCTCCCTGCACCAATGGAGGCCTTAAAGGCAGAGTGAATTTCCATACTGTTTTAGGGCTGGGGAGGGGCAAGAACCATCTACAGCACCGCTACTAGAGGAAAGTCACTCCACATATGTTGGTGGTGGTCTCCTACCTGCCGTAATCATTGTGGGCTGCAACAACCCTTCCAACGAAAATGGCAATGGCCAGAAATCCATTTCCAGCTTTTTAAAAAAGATACTATATTTGAAAGAAACAAGACGTGTTTCAATCATATACCTTATTTCAAAGGTGAACTGGGGTCTTAGGATCATGTTTGTTTGTTTGTTTTTAACTAGAAAACTTTTGCACCAGGAGAAGGTGCTATCTCCAGGGTCTGCATGCCATATGTGGGTCACTGCTGGCATAAGAGAGGGAAATGGCTTCAAATGGAGCAACTGGCCTTTGCTTTTCCCCTTGATGGCTAACTCTGATGATCAAAGTTACTCACCATGGTCATTTCCCCAGGACAGGAGCATGGCAAGTTGCCTGAGAGGGTGAGCACATTGATAAAAAAAATGCAGGAAATACTATGAGTTTGGAGTGAGCTGATTTGCATTTTTTCTGTTGACCATATGACACACAGGGTAAGGTGAATCAGGCCAGAGTGCTCCCTTCCAAATCCATCGTCTTTTTTTTCTTAGCCACTGAGGCTCCTACATTGGAAAAACAAACAAACGAACGAACAAAACCAGATCCATTTGCATCAGTTCAGGCATGTGATCGCTTCAACCAAGGAACAAAAAGGGAGGATGAGTTATGAGCACATATACACAAAGTGGTGGTTTGCTGCTTGAAGCATCTCCCCCCTAGCTTCATGAGGGAGGATGAGCCATGGAGAGAGAGAGCGAGAGAGCAGGAAAACCATTGCTCCAGCACATACTCTCTCTGGCAAAGCCTCTTTCCATAGGCAAGACTCTTCCTCCTGCTCCTCTTCTTCTTCGCTTAAGAACAGAAGTTCTCTCTGTGGGCAAACATTTTTTTTTAAAGAAAAACAAATGAGATGAGGTAATCAAAGGAAGTAACCCTTGTTGCAACTTGTTAAGATAGTTCCTTTGAAAAGTGCCCCCTAAGGGCTTCACAGAGCTACAAACAAGCAGGAAACAAGGCTTTTCTCCTCTCTGTCTGTGGCCACTTAAACTGAAGAGACCTGAATCCCCCAATGTGAATTCACAGCAAGCGTGTGTGAATGTGAGGGAATTTCCATTTCCCTTGCTGTGCAGTTTCACCCTGATGCTCAATCAGACCTTGGTACATCCAGTCATACTGGATTTTTTCAGGCCTACCTGGAGACACTAGCGATTGTGCTTAACCAATAAAACCACAGACTCTTGTAAACCTGCACTCCTAAAAATATACCTGCTGTGTGCTTTTCTGCCAAGTCTCTGGAAAACAACGAAGAAAACAGATGTAAATACTTGTTATTTTCTTACTTGACCTTCTGGGTAGAAATTAAATCCATTTTGTCTTATTGGATCAGCTTTGGGAAGCAGCTAGTTTCATCACCCACCTACTCACTTCAGTGGATTTGCTTTCAGATATACCCCAAGACTTGATTTCCAGCTCCCCCATTCACATACCATGTTTCGCCCAAACAGTGTGGAATTTAATGCTGTGGAAGATATCTCCCTCTCTCCTCTCTGGAACCGTACCAAGAGGCTTACCTTTCTCGATGCATCTTAATACATTTACCCTTTTATCTAAAGGTACAGAACACACAGTCCACTTTAGGCACTATGCAAAACTATAAACTCTACCCCTTAATAATGCTTCTCTGCCTTGTGTGTGGCAGAAACAGAGTGACTGCTGTATAAAATGAGCTAAGGGAGGACTTTTCAGACAGGCCTTTATAGGCTGGGCCCACCAGTTCTTTTGATTCATCCTTGCCTAGAAGGCCTCAGGACGATCTACGGGTTACGGCAAGCATCCTCCCACTGGACAAAACAGAATATGGCAAAGGCTGGAGGGTTAGGATGCTAGGAATGAAAATGAAGGCCTCTGCAGAGAAAACAGAGCCCCCTGAGAGTCTGCACTTAGGCCTGTGCTTACAGACTAACTTGTTGACAAAGGACAGAAACACAAAGGATGACTCCGCAACCATTATGAACCAGAGGCCTTTGCCGTACCCAAAGCAGGCTTGGAAGAATTGAAGGAGAAAACAGTTCCATTATAATTTCTGGCATGTTGTGTAGATGACAACAGACCATGTCCTCCTGCCCTCCAGAGCCTCCTTCCTGGTTGTGCTAATACTCCTTGGCCTCCTGTAACTGAGAGAGGTATTCGTCCTCAGGCGGATTGTCGGTGCACCGCTGCCCATTGTTGGGAGGCCGTACAGCATGGTATCTGCTCCAGTCACCTTTGCACAGAATCCAGGGCAGCTTGTCCACCTTGTAGTGCAACTCAGGGGAGAACTCTGTGCTGATGAGGTTGGGGGCCCCGGCCCCCTTGCCTCGCGTGATCAGCTTGGTGTTCTCATCGTAGCAGCAGTGTTGTGCAGCCAGCGTGGTGCTATCCAATGAGAGCATGGAGCGCAGGCAGAAACGGGCGGTAGGCTTGTAGATGTCCAGCCGTTCCTTGGGACCACTGGCATCCCGCCAACGGAAGTTCTTGCCCTGCTGCTCATCTCGCAGGTTGACGGCGCTATAAACCGCCTCCAGGGGGTAGGAGCAAGGACAGCTGGGCAGATCCGACAGTACTTTGCTCAGGTATTTGCTGAGGAAGTCACTCTTGCAGTTGAGCCATTTCTCACAGCTGTCCACATCTGGGGGAATAACCAAACCAACAAGACATCACTAGCAGATCATCCTCTTATTATTTTCAGTTATGTTTCTCTTATGTTTAAACCCTGCCTTTCCTCCAATGAGTTCACGGCAGCATATGGGGCTCCCCCCTCATAAACAGTTTATCTGCATAATAAACCTGTAAGGTGGGTGAGGCTCCAAAAGTGTGAATGGCCAAAGTGAAACTGCAGTGAATTTTGCGATCAAGTGGGAGATGTGAACCCATGCCTTCTGAGTCCTAGTCCAACTCTCTGAAAATTGCAATTCACGGCCTGCGCCAATATGAGAAAGCTGTGAAAAATCCTTTCCTAAGTACCCAGACCAGAGACTGTGTTTACTATTTAACTAAAGATGGGGATATTCATATTCATATACAAATATGAATATCCATGTCCCAGCTGGGCCTAATGAGGTGTCATAACAGACGGGAAGGCAGAGATTCTTGACAGCATTCTGAATTCTGTTGGCAACACCAAATACAGTGGAACCTCTACTTAAGAACTTAATCCGTTTTGGAATGGTGTTCTACCCAGACCAGAGACTGTGTTTACTATTTAACTAAAGATGGGGATATTCATATTCATATACAAATATGAATATCCATGTCCCAGCTGGGCCTAATGAGGTGTCATAACAGACGGGAAGGCAGAGATTCTTGACAGCATTCTGAATTCTGTTGGCAACACCAAATAAGCCATTGGTTTTCTCTCTGCCCAATTGTAGAACACACACATGCCCCATCATGTGTGCCCAGGAATTCCCTCTTCTAGCAGCTAGGGTTGGAGAATAATCAACTTTAGCTTCTTTCCATTTCATGTTTTCTAGTCATAAGTCTCTTCCTGTTTCTACTCCATCTTGTAATTAAAAAAATAAAATAAAATTGGCAGAAGAAAATTCCAATGCATATTTTGTCTGCTTTTCTCTGGACACTCAGTTGTGTCTAATACACACATTTCTACAAGCCATTCCACATAATAGAATGCATGTTTGTGCTTGGTCTGTCTTATGTACACATTTGGCATACATTTTTGATTGAAGAACTGCATTATAAAAGGCAGAGAATTAAGAATGGTGCTGAGTGATACTCAGTGTGGTGTAGTGGGTAGAGTGATGGCCTAGGATTCAGGAGGCCTGGGTTGGAGTTCTTGCTCAACCATGAAAACTCACTGGGAGAGGAGGACTGATAAAACGCTCCTTAAATATTTCACTCACTTTGAAAGGCATAATGATGGTGATGATTATGCACCACGAAGTGAATTATGTCCTATGGTGACCCTTTTCAGGGTTTTCAAAGTAAAAATTACTCAGAAGTGGTTTACTGTCTCCTTTTTGCGAGAGCATTCTGGGACTGTGCAGGTTCCTCCGGGTGACACAGTATGGCTCTTCTGACCTCCCGACCTCAGGCTCCATAGCCGGATACTGTACCTACATCGCTGAGCTATTGCTATATGTTGGTTCTGACCTGACAGCACATGATGTCACAAAGGAATAATGCAGAACAACTGGATTTCAGTTTAGATGTTATTTTGGAAAGTACCCATTGGAGAGGTCCTGCCCTTTCTTTAACAACAGGGCCCAATTCTTTTGCCCTAAGACTCTGCTGACCTGCGTTCAGGATCCCTGTGGCATTCTCAGCTTCATACGGCATCTCTTCAGTAGTGAGAGACAGCTCCCCATCTGTTCCTTGAGAAACACACAGAAACAAAACGGTCAGGGCAAACCTTTCAAGACCTGATGGATTCTATTTTGAAGAAGCTACAGACAGTGACCCTTTTGCCTAAAGAAGGGAGGTGGCCCAAGGACAGAGGTTTCACCCAAGCCGTTTTGGAACTACTGAAAAGGGACCTTCTTAATAAACAAGGGCAAGGAAAGCTGGTCAGTAGACAGCATGCAGAATGACAATGAACTGGTAGCTCTGAATTGTTAGAAGTAGTGACAATACAGTGCATATAAAAGATGCAACTTAGGAAACAGGGCAGGAGTGGCAGAAGAAAAGATATACCAGGACAGTGGTGTAGATCACAGGTTCTGGACTCCGTGGCAGTACACGCATAGCCACAAGACCGGGTTCTCTTCTGGTTCCCACTGCCACATGTTACACTGCAGGGAGACCAAGGACTCCATTCTTCCTCATGCTCATAGTCTAGAGAGGGCAAGAAAAAGATGGCACACACTAAGATTCTACAAAGCCGAGCAGTCCATCTCTCTCTCCTCCAAACCTGAATTGTATTAGAAGAGTAGGCAAAATGCAGCCCTCCAGATGTTGCTGGACTATAAATCCCATCAGGCACAGCCAGCATAGCCAATAGTGAAGAATGCTGGGAGGCGTGATCTAACAACCTCTGGAGGACCTCATTTGGCCTGCCCCTTCTACAAGTACAAACTCAAAAGAGCAAAAACAGAGGAGGTAGTGGAGGAGGAATGATGCGGGCCATATTCATTATATTTTTGCTGTTTTAGCTTAGATATTAAAGGTTTTATCTTTTGCACTACTGTTAAACTTCCTATTTCTACTAACACTGAACACTCAATAAACAGTAAGCAGCCAATCTGGTAACTTGCCACAGAGGTTTTGGCCAGCCTACAACACCAATTCTTTAAACAGTAAAAAATTCTTGGGAACAATGAGACAATTGGGGGTGCTGGGAAGTCCCTGAAGATATATGATGATCAAGAATGAAAGACTCACCATAATTATATTTCTCTTTGAAGATCCAGTTCTTCTGATTGGGCCACCTCTGATCCCAGTCATCTCCCACTCCACTCAGCACTGTTTCTTCCTCATCATACTCAGAAGTGTAATCTTCCTCCTCGTCGTCCTCGTCCTCCTCTTCTTCTCCCCTGCTTCTCATGTCCAAGTTGTCATCATCATCATCATCACCCTCCTCCACAGGGTCTGTGTACTCCCAGAAAAGTGGCCAGAAGAAATCTTTATGGGACAACCACTCTGAAGAGGTCAAAGACCAGTCATTGCTAGTTTCCTTGAGCAGGTCCATTTCCATCTCAGCCTGAGGGTCATCGACCACCTCAATGGTCACCTGGAAACCAAGCCACAGGGTAAGACTATTTCAGAAGCACAATCACTTAGGTCAAACCGTGCATTGCAGGACAACTGTGGGAGCCACCGCGCAAAATCTTATAATTAAAAATCTTATAATTCATGTGTCATCTCCTGATGTGCTGCCAAACATGACATTCAGTTCACGAGTTAAAGAACAGGTGGTAAAAAGTACAGTAAAAGAACCTGGGCCTGCTAAAACTGCAACTAGTCTTTTAACAAGACATTTATCCTTCTGTGAAGATTCTCAGTCATCCCGGTGAGGTTGAGTCATGGCCACTGGACTTCTTTCTTGTTAGGTTGAAACGTTTCACTACTCATCCAAGCAGCTTTTTCAGCTACTTTACCCTTAATATGTCACTCTTTCTAAATTAAGCCCTGCTATGTATGCAAGAACTCATTTCTCCTATGCTGGTACAAACAGAAGCTCACAATTCTTTCTACTTTGGCAGAGGATCTGTGAGATGATCTCCAAATTCTATGAAAAAATACACTGAGAGACCAACAACACAACAGAAGTTTTAGCCTTCACAAAATTAACAATAAGAGGAGGGTTATAATTTAGGATTTTGTCTTGATTATAATACATTCAATGGAACAGAAAGTTTGGTCTATCCTTATAAATATCTCAAATCATTGCGAAGTCCCATCCATAAAAATCTGCTAACACAACTAGCAACATACAGTACGGTGGTGCCCTGCTTGATGATTACCTCGTTGTACAATGAATCCGCTGCACAATTAGTTATTTGTGATTGCTATTGCGGTCGCAAAACAATGTTTCAATGGGGTTTTTCCGTTTGAAGATGATCAAAAACAGCTGATCGTTGGGTTTTCAAAATGGCCGCCCGCTGTGCAAAATGGCTCCCCGCTGTGTTCAGGATGGATTGCTCGCATTACAGGCATCGGAAAATGGCCGCCCTATGGAGGATCTTTGCTGGACGGTGAGGTATTTCGCCCATTGGAACGCATTAACCGGTTCTTAATGCATTTCAATGGACTTTCAAAGGATTTCGTTTTACAGCAATTTTGCTGGAACGGATTATCATCGTCAAGTGGGGCACCACTGTAGTTTATTATAATATTCATACTTGGCTGGAAGTATGAAAAGTCTTTGGAACAAACATGTCCTTATACCCTGCTTTTTTGAGCCACAGGGATCTGGAATAAAACTCTGTCCAAAATGGAAAGTTGGGGCTTCATGAGTCCAAAAGTCATCTACCTTTGACTTTATATACTTTATATATTTCACCTTTGGCAAAGTCCAGAGATTTTCTTTCCTCTTCAAACAAAACAACAACAGCCACTCAGGCACCTCCCTCTAGCCTTAAGTGAAACATGTAGACTTCTTTGGCAGCATTAGCAGAGGTTTATCTTTTCTAACTTATGTAATTGTGGATACGACCAGTCTTTTTAATTTTATCCTGAGAAGTACAAGTTTTCTCAGTAGCACAAGCCTACCTGAATATTTGGATTCTGGGCACTCAGATCCACATTGGCTAAGCCTGGCAGGTTCTGTAAGTCCAGCACAAAGGGGGGGTTCTCTTCCTGGATTGTGCCCCCAGCCCTTAGAGACTGCACCTGGTTCCTTGCAGCTCGCTGTGGCGGCCAACGGCGCTTCTGTCGGCGTGGCATGGCCCGTCCATTTCGCCTCAGGTTTCGTACCTGATTAGACTGTGGCATCTCTTCTTCTTTGATCGAAGCAAGGGCAGGTGAAGAAGAGATCTGAGGTTGAAAAACAGCAGTGGAAGCATCACCGCCTAATACATCATTGTACATTAACATACAAATTCCGATACACTGATCGACTCTTTCCCAATGTGATTCTATCCAGATCTGTCAGACTCCCACATTCCCTTTCATGGCCACAACCTTTGGAAAGGCTGCCATGAGGTAACACCTCACTCTTCTCCATCTCATGCTTAACAAAATTGAGACTGGCCTTCATATGGCAATTTTTGTTACTTAAAAATATGGTGAACTTGGTCTGCTGGCTTTGGAGGCCCTCCTGGTCATTCTGCAAAAGGAGGTCTGCTATTTGCTCCAAAGTCCTGCTCCAATACAGCCATCGTCATGCTGGCTTCTCTAACCTGGTTTCTTCGGTCCTGAACAGTTCAGGCTAGGCTATTCCTGTGTCTAGGTACCCAGTGTGGTGTAGTGGATAGAATGACAGACTAGGGCTCTGGAGACTAGGGTTCAAATCTCCAGTTGGCCATGGAAGCTGATTAGGGCAATAGAGCTAGTAATATCTCACTTATTTTGAAAGCCCTATTAGGATTGCTATAAGTCAGTTCTGATTTGATAGCACATAACCAATGTTCCCTTTATAATTTCCATGGGAGCCTCACCTGTCTCTGGGCGGGGTTTCATCCAAAACCCAGAAGTAAACAGGCACTGATTCTGGCTGCCACTGTGCAGCGCCGATGCAGCTCTGTGCGCCTCCACACACATGCACATGTGCGTGTGTACCTACAGGAAGTGTGTACCTTCCTGTGTACCTTCACTTCTAGCATTCAGGATTTGCTCCTCTAAGCTCAACATAGCCAATGAACAAGCAGATTATACAATCTCTGTTCTCTATGTCCTATTATTTTCATCAATCCCGTAATTATTCCTTTGAAGGCTGAAGGGATTGTAATTTGGCTTGCTCAGAGGCACACCTCTGGTTCTACAGAGGCAGTAAGAATTTGGCCCAAGCACAACTTAACATGCAAGTCATAAATAGAAGAGTCTGTTTATAGGAGGATGCGGTGTCACATTTTATGTACCATACCACACCACCTGGAGACAGTGGTCTTTTTTCAATTTTAGGTGCTATGCAGGGTTGTGTACTTGAATGGGAGACCACCAGGAAATGCTGGGAACATCTCCAGGTAGGATTTGATAAGGATCATGCCTAAAGCTGTGCAGAGTCATTCCTACAGGTCAAAGTTAAAATACCAGGCTAGATGGACCATGGATGTGACTCGCTATGAGGCTGTTTGCTACGTTCTTATGCTTCTTTGCATTGGTATATTATTTCTGAGAGAAAAAATCCCAAAGTAAATACAGAAAACAGAGGAGGTATGTGTTGTTTTGTATTATTTTGCTTTGTTTTGTACCAATATGTTTAATTAATGTTATATGAAACCATTTGTGTTATCTTTTTAGCTTTTCATAACTTGGAAAGAAACCATGACTTTAAGATTATTATTAGATTTTTTCCCTTTTCCTTTTTAAAATTATATGTATAAAATGCATAGCCAAAGCAAGCAAAGTGGGCCGCTTTTATATCACCCTATAGCTCTTAAAGCACTATTTAAGAGGTTTACTATTTAATTATGCAGGCTACACATTGGAGCCCCTGCTCCAGCAAGCTGGGTACTCAGTTTACTGACCTCAGAAGGATGGAAGGCTGAATCAACCTTGAGCCAGCTACCTAAGCCGACTGGGATCAAACTCAGGTCATGAGCAGAATCATAATTGCAGTGCTGCAGTTTAACCACTGTACAATATACATATTAAAGATGTGCATATTTCAAAAGAACACACAAACACATTTTATTATATGAGGAAAAGGTGAAATAATGTCTACAATAGTGAAGTGTTTGCCAGATATGTGGTAATACTCATGTGGGAGGAAAAGCAGTTTCATAAACTGATGCAGAACTTGGACCGGGCTGGAGTGCAGAGAATCCTGGTGTGTTTCTGAGAAAAACAATGAAAACCGAACTGACAGATGTTCATATCCTAAACTCAAAGGTTTATTTCCATCCATTACTAATCAATTACTTTCTCATTCTCTTTCGTTCTGCGTGGAATAAATTTTCATTCTGGATTCGTGTTCAAATGTAGCTGATTAACTTCACCAGCACACAGGAACACATTATTTGGCATATTCTAAGACAGTGGTCTGGTTGGGAGTGGGGGTGGCACGCTTGTGGGGGTGTGGTGTGTCCACAGGGGGGTGGAACGTGCTCATGTGCATGTGCGTGGAGGCACTCATGGGGGCCGCTTGCACGCATGCACACTCACACACACACACACGGCTGTGCTCACGGGGGGCTGCTTGCATGCATATGCGCAGCAGCATGCGTGGGCACGGTCGCGCATGGGGTGAAATGCACTCACGGGTGAGGCAGGAGATCTGTGTCCGCAGCCCAGTCCTTCCGAGGCCATGGACCGGGGATTTGGGACCTCTGTTCTAAGGCTCAAACCGCGTTAGCATGCATCTGTGTGTCTTTTTCTGTACTGGATAGTAAGTATATATGATCCTGATTTGGATGGAACCAGTGCACAGAGATGTGGGAAGTTTAAAGTTCATCCTCCTATATTTTAATTATTTATATCTCCTTCATGCAGGATTAAAAGAAACTCCATCAGTTCCACAATTTTTAGAAAAAACATGCAGATGTATGCTATTTGTTTAATGCAGCATACAGTTTGATACCAAGTCTAGAAGTTTTTTTAAAGTTAGAAAACCCTGTTTTTCTCTCCTAAGAACTCTTCACATAAAAAAAGAGAAAACAGAATTGTGTCTACCAATTCAGATCAAGACCATGGTGCTGAAAGAAAGGGATTAATATTTCCTGATGCACCATTTTCTCTGGTGTAATTAGCACACACATAGGCCAACTTACCCCACAAAAACCCTGGTATGGAAAACCTACATTTATATGCCAGCTTTTCCTAATGGGAAAACAGAAGCTGGGGATGAGTGTAGAGGAAGAAAATATGCGTCAGAAGAATGGCATGACAAGGGAAAAAATTAACTTGGGATGCAAAGTCACAGCAGGGAAAATTCATTTTTATTCACTGGGATCCACAATTTATCAAATCACGTTTTCCTGGAGGATATTGCTATAGGCATCCAGACGACAATTTGCAGGAGTCACAGACCATCTGCCAGCAACTCTAGGTGTAACTGAGGAAGATTCTCATTTGAACGCCTGGAGAATTACGTCCGCTCAGCTTGGACTAAACTGAGCTAAGGAGGCACTAATACAACCAAACTGTCCCCATGCCTTTAGGGCACTGCTTTCCTACCCTGGGTCCCCAGATGTTCTTGGATGACAATTCTCAAAAATCCTGGACAGCACATCTAGTGGTGAAGGGCTCTGGGAGTTTTAGTCCAAGAACATCTGGGGACCCAAGATTGGGAACCACTGCTTTAGAGGACAGAAAACAAGCTTGCTCCATCTTCCTTGTGACAGCCCTGCAGATATGAAGAGGGCTATCAGTCACTTTTCACATCTCTTCTCCAGGTTTAAACATACACATTTCTTCAGTTGCTCCTCACAAAATTAAGTTTCAATAATTACATAAACATAAATAGCATAATTCTAAACAGTGCTCCTATAAACAGCCACCCTTCCAACTGACTGCCAGATTTCCAAGCTGTCATGTCAGCATCCCTTATTAAAACTGCGCAGGCCAACATGAATGCAAATTTCAGCATGGCAAAGAAACCAGAGTTCATTAAATTCCTCTGTTTAGCATTCTGTTTGAACAAGCTGAACACACACACATACTTTCCTTCTCTTCATTCTATAGATGGAAAGTGCTATCAATATCTTTTTTCTTCTTCTTCACACCCATCTTCATGTGAGAACTTGCCAGAAGCATGCGGAGGAACTACATTATTATTTTTAAAATAATTCTAATGAAAAGGTATAGGCTCTGGAAAAAGATTTCCCCGTGCTGTGTGGTGTTTCGAAGGAGCTTCTGGCTCCTCCTTGGAGTGCTTGTTCTCCAGGCCTCCGTTCATCTTGATGGGAGGAACTCAACAGGCAGCTTGACTTCTCTGGGCTAGCTCCCTGTATGATACTTCCTCTCCCTGCAGGAGCCCAGAGGGTAGCTGCAGGATTAGAGGAAGCAAGGACACTCCCCTCCCCATATGGGATACTGAGAGGCACTATTACCTGCAATTAGGGCTTGATGGCTGAGGAAGGATTCTTCCCCCTCCATCCCACTTTCATCCTGATCGCTGGAGCACTTCAAAGGGAGCCAGAGCTAGCCTGGGCTCACATGAGTGAACACACAAGGCTGTCATCAATGGATTTACAAGGGCTGCACATCAAAAGGCCTGAAGCCTGCCTGCCCCACCCCCAGTGAAAGGAAGAGAAAGCAGCAGGGAAAAGATTGCTGGTCGCTTTTGCTGTGTTATTAATGAGTGGGGCAAGCTGTGGCAAAAGGACGGGAGAGGCATCCCCATCCTCCTGCGTATAACTGAGGGAAATATTGATTACTCCAGTAGGGTTGCTATCTGGTACTGTCTCTCATACTACCCTATCCTACTGTAATGGGGAGGGCAGCGGCAGGGGTGGGTGGGTTAAGAAAAACTGCAAGAGTGGCCAGTATATTCCAGTTCTGATTCATCTGGTCAGGTGCCCCAAGTAGGCGATCTGTCAGTATCATGAAAATGATTGGCCAGAGTCAGGCCTACCCTTAGGTGGAATAAGTCATTTGCCACAATGCGGTCCCTTCTGAGTGTTAATAGTAGTTCTTTATTAAATTTATCATTATTGTGCTTTCACTGCTAAGGAAACGGAGGCGAACAGCAGGTAAGGTCACTAGATGGAATAAAAGGACAGCATTCCTATACCTTTAATAGTTACCTAGAATAAAAAATTTCAACAGGTGTAGCTGTTAATGGAAGCTATGCCTGCTGAAATTTCCTTTTCCACATAACTATTAAAGGTAGAGGATCCTTGTCCTTTTTAAAAAATTTAGTCTCCCAAAT